TTAAGTTTTAAGGAAATGGAAAGATATCTCATGATCATAGATTGGAAGATAGTATTATTAATTTGGCAATACACCACAAATTAAGCAAAATCCCAGATGCTCTTTGTACTGAAGCTATCAAACTGATCCTAAAATTTTTGTAGAAACAGGACAGTGAACAACCACAACAATCTCAAAGAGTAAAGCTGGGGAACTTAACTTCCCAGTTTGGAAAGTACCACAAAATTACAGCAATTAAGGCCATATAATATTAGCATAAAGACAAACATTAAAGCTTGTGGAATAGAGAGTGGAACTAAACTCATAGATATGTGTTGTTGACCCCCCAACAAAGGTGTAAATCCATTCAACGGGGAGAGGTAATGTCTTCAATAAATGGTGCTTGCGACAATTGGATGTGTATGCACTAGCGAATGAAGGTGGGTTCTATTTCCTACTACCTGTAACTTAAAATGAATCAAATATATGAAATTTTGCAGCTATCAGAAGGAAGAACAAGTGTAAGTTTCTGTGACCTTTAATTAGATTAGGCAAGAATTTCTTAGATTCCAAAAGAAGCAACCATATAAATGTAAATTGCACTTCTTCAAAAAAAAACCAAACCAAAGCAAAACAAAACCAAAAAAAATTTTTAAAGACACCAGTGAGACAGTGAAAGACAGTGAAGAGTCAGAGAAAATGCCTGTAAATCTTGTATTTAAAGGAGTTGGATCTAGACTATATGAAGAATACTCAAACCTCAACAATAGAAGACAACAAGGAAGACACACAGCCAGAAAGTACACAGAATTGTGGCCAACATCATTAGCCTTTACGGAACTGCAAGTCAGACTAAAGTGAGTCACCACTCTGTACCCACTCTAATGAAAACCATTCAGTAGCAAGTGTTGGTGAGGATGTGGCAATTTTGGGACCCTCATCCAACTGTGAGAATGAGAAATGATTCAGCAGCTGTGGAAGAGTTTGGCAGTTCAGCTCAGCATAGTGACCACACGATCTAGCAGACTTGCACAGGAGTATTCATTGCAACATTCTTCTTCAAAACGTGGAAACAGTCTTAATGTCCATTCGCTGATGAATATACAGTAAAAGGTTATAGGTTCATTCAATGGACTATTATTCAGCCATAAAGTAGAATAAAATTCTGATGCATATCAGGATATGAGTGACCCTTGAAAACATGTTAAATCTAAGACCTAGACAGAAAAGACCACATCGTGTGTGATTCTATTATATAAAATGCCTAAAACAGGCAGATCTAGAGTTAGTACAATAAATGATTTCCAGAGTGGGTAGTGAATACTAAAGGGTATGATAAAAATTTCTTTGGGAGGTTTTGAAACTATTCTGGATGATGATGATTGCATGCCTTCGGGAATATGCTAAAAGAACTAAAAGAAACCCCACGGAATAATCAATATGGGATAAGTATATCTATTCTGTATTCACCAATTAATCTGATGTGAATAAATATACTTTGTAAATTGTACAAAGAAGAGGGGAAAGGAGAAAGAAAATGCTTTCCCACAGAAGCAGGTGAATCCAGTTCCTGTAATCATACATGGGAAATCTTACCTCTCCCCAGCGTACGAGTGAATACAGGAAGACTAACCTTTCCTGGGACCATTAACAGCTGACTTAAAGCCAAAAGACTAAATTTAGCCTCTTGTGGGAGGACAGCTTGCTTATCCACAAGTAAGTTGAGGAAGTGTGTGTGTGTGTGTGTGTGTTTGTGTGTGTGTGTGTGTATTATGCTACTTGGCCGTAAGAGCATTGATTTGTCAAATCATTCAGTGGCATTCTGTTGACAGTTGTTACTATGCATAATTATTATCTTTTAAAAAGTTACTTATTTGGGAAGCATATTTAGAGAAGAGAGAGGGAAAGGGGGACAGAGAGAATTTTTCACCTGCTGATTGACCCCCTGAATTGCCACAGGTCTGGAACCAGGAGCCAGGAGCCCTCTCCCATAAAGGTACAGGAACCCAAGCACTTGGGCCATCCTCTGTAGAAGGACATTGTGATTCTAGAAGGACAGGGAGCATAGGATTATAGTTGATAAAGATGTCATTTGTATGAGAACAGAATGGATAGCATTTGAATGAGAATGCTTGGTGGGATATACAAAACAAAAGCGTTCCAAACAAGGGTGTGGAAATAATTGATGGGTTCCATAGATAAGCTCCTTCCTTATCCTATGTGACCCTCAGTCTATAAAAATCTGATGCCACTAATAAACTTCGGCTATTGACCTTCAGTCGGTAGTCCACTCAGGTCATTATAAGCTCTGTGCACCACGTCCATCGCTGCAGGACAGTGAACAATCCTCCATTGCTTTTTTTTTTTAAAGATTTATTTTTATTATTTTTTTTATTGGAAAGGCGGATATACAGAGAGGAGAGACAGAGAGGAAGATCTTCCATCCGATGATTCACTCCCTAAGTGAGCGCAACGGCCGATGCTATGCCGATCCGAAGCCAGGAGACTCTTCTGGGTCTTCCACGCGGGTGCAGGGTCCCAAAGCCTTGGGCCGTCCTCGACTGCTTTCCTGGGCCACAGGCAGGGAGCTGGAAGGGAAGCAGGGCTGCCGGGATAGAACCGGCGCCCATATGGGATCCCATATGCGATCCCGGGCGTGCAAGGCGAGGACCTTAACCACTTGCACCACCGCACCGGGCCCCCTCTATTGCTTTTTAAGGTGCATTAGCAGGGAGCTGGATCGGAAGTGGAAGAACAAGACTCGAACTGGTGCCATTATGGGATGCTGGCACTGCAACTTTACCAGTTACCCCACAGCACCAGCCCCTCCCAGGTAGTTCTATTAACAGGTAAACCTTAAGGAATAGAGACTGATTTCATAAGAGAATTTTATGAGATTAAATCCTTTAGACATAAAAAGCAGTAAAGTTCAGTTGAAATACATGACTGTTCAGGATATGTAATCCTGGAACCAATTAGAAAGCACCTGACTACAAAGAAGCAAAGGAATACCTCAATAAGTGTATTCGAAATTGCTGCTGAAGGTGACAGGTTTGAGGATGCGGTCGAGGGAGCACGAGACAAGCTGTAACACATCATCATTAGGTTTTTATGTTGTTTTGTCTTGGGATTTTGTCAGGGTAAATTGTCAGGATAAACTGTGAAGCGTGATTCTATTTGCTGTAATCCTCATCCTAGGGAAAAGTTCATATCAGAAAAGAGACATTGAGACAATATATGTATGTATAGTAAATAACTATTTTTAGTTAATACAGAAAATCTTAATTCCATGAATTGTTTGGCGAGCCTGAGTTATAAAAAGATGTTATGTTTAAGGAACTAACAAGAGTATTTCCTTTCTATTTTGAAAGATTTATTTATTTGGAAGGCAGAGAGAGAGAGAGAGAGATTGAGATCTTTTATCTCTTGATTCTTTCTCCAAATGGCCTCAATGGCCAGGTCTGGACCAGGCCAAAGTCAGCAGCCTGAAACTCCAGCTGTCTCCTATAGAGGGAAGGGGGCCCAAGGTCTCAGTCCATTTTCCATTGTTTTCCCATATACATTAAGAGGGAATCACAGCAGAAGTGGAGCAGCTGGGACTTGAACCAGTAGTATCATGTGGGATACTAGTGTCCTTGCTTAATCCTCTGCCGTAATAGTGGCTCCAAGAGTGTTTCCTGGAGTTCATGAATGAGATAGTTTGTAAAGACAAACTCCAGACCAAAAGTGAAAAATGCTTAATGCAAAATGTAAAGCATGAAATAGCAAAAAAAAAAAAAAAAAAATCCTGAAGAACTTCTACTTTAAGGAAAATATTCTGATTAAAATATTGTATTAAAATCTAATATCGGTGTGGGTATGTCACGTAGTGGCTGTGGCGCAGTGGCTCAGTCACTACCTGGGATGCATACTTGCTGTGAGAGGGTCTGGTTTAAGTCCAGGTTGCTCCCTTTCCAGTCCAGCTTCCTGCTAGTGGGCACCTTGGGAAACACCACAGATAATGCTCCAGGACTTGGTTCCCTGCCCCTCCCATTGTATGCCCAGATTGAGTTATTCTTGTGGCTTTGCCCTAGCCTGGCCCTGGCTGCTGCAGACGTTTAGGAAATGAAACAATTGATGGAATTTGTCTCCCTATCTTTCTGCTTCTCAAATAAAATGAAAAAGAAAAAGTCAATGCTACTTGAATTAATTGTGTTTAAATCACCAATTTTGTGTTCCAATAGATTCACTGTACCGATCAGCATGGTCTATAACCATGTTCTTACTTCTGCTGGTTCACTCTGAAAATACCTACAACAGCCACGGTGGGACTTGGCTAAATCCAGGAGTCTGAAACTCAAAGCAGGTTTACCAGCTACTAAAGCATCACTGCTGGCGGCCAGGGTGAATCTTAGAAGCAAGCTGAAACCAGAAATAGAGTCAGGACCGGAAGCCAGGCACTGGCTGGTATGGGCATCACACACAGTGTCTTAGCTGCTGCATAAGGCCTCTGCTCTCTGTTTTATTTCTTGGTGACTACAGAAACTACTGAATAATTTGCAAAGAATAAAATGGAGTGTTTTATAAAAGGCAGCAAGTAAGATGTTAATACAATTCTTAAATAATTGTAAAAACATTGAGATTTTTTTCTCCAGCAAGATTACTTTTGCAGTTTACAGGAAACTTATTGCTGTTACTTACATTTAATCATTTTTCTCAGGAAGTACATTGAGAGAATTAGTGGCTTTGGAGAAATATGATAACTGAAATATATCCTGTCCCCACCCATCTAGAAAAGTAAACCAGAGAGGAGGCCAATTTTGCTTCATCTTGAGTTGAGAGTTTTAAATATTATTAACTAAATTATTCATGAATTCAAACAGATGTAATTATTTTACTTTTAACCATTTCATTTGAAAATAAATCATGTGATTTTAAGTGGGAAATGTGGCCTTACCACCAAAGACATATATGAATAAAAAAAAAAATGAACTACAAGGTGATTAAGAGGCAATTTCTCTTGTGTTTTATTTCAGAACAAATTGTATTCTTTTGGAAAACCAAAGATAAAATCTGTGGTTCCAGAGCTACTTTTCTTGGGTATAACTTCTCAGAGCACTTGTGAAGCAAAAAAGCACAACGCCATGTTGGGACACATCCCCATTATGCATTTCTTCATCTGTTCTTTCCACACAACTGTCTCCATCGTGACCATGTGAGTCTCTAGAACAGGTAGCAAATATCTGAAAATGTTTCTTGATGGTGAAGGAGACAGAGACACCCATGTGAGTGGAGTTAGCTAGTATATTAGTAGGAGATCTTGGCTGAGATTCTGCCCAATAGCAATCCAGAAGTTGAAAATCTTAGCCTTAGTCCTACTAGTGGTAACTCTTCATTCTGGATCATCACCTACTTGCATTTGGGGTCACTTGTGTCATTTGCAGCTCCAAATAACAAAAGCCAAACTGGCCTCCCCTGCCCAACACTCTTCCCAGGTGGGAGCATCCTTGGTCCTGCCCGGATTGATGGGGCTGAAACAATGCCAGCAACACCTGATTTCTCTGCTGCCTTTTGGTTCTACATCCTTACCTGTCCTTTTTAAAGAAAAGCCTCTTCATTATTGTTAACAGTTTGATTTCTGTAGTTCCCAACTCAACCTCTGTCACTTGAGTGCCTCAGAAATTCTAGCCCAAGTGTTATTGTGTCCTTTTGGTTCTGATTGGATAGACTGGTCATCATGTCCCTGGTAACTTGTATCATGTGGCCATATGTTGAACTAGATCTCATACACTTGGTTTTCTTATCACAGGTTTTCAGTATATTTAAATTTGTAAGATTCACAACCATGAGATTATAATAGAAACATAATGAGAAGAAGTTAGTTTATTTGTCACGGTAGGCTAAGGAAAGGGAAAGCTCCAGTCAGGGGAAGGTTTTGTCTACCCCTTGTTTTTAAGTCATCAAACATTCAAGAATTACTTCTCTTTACCTTCAGCTTAAAGAAGGAAAGAGTGCCTGAATTTCCTTCAACCACTGACAAAGCAGACAATTGCAGAGATGGCTATTCCAAGGATATTTTTGCTGTAAAAGAAAAAAAAAATATGACTTCTCCCCAGATTAAAAAAAACAACAACACCGCATTTCCTGGTTATGCAGAATTTCAAATACATGATGGATAATTCTGCAGTGCAAATATACTCCATGTAATATTTGGGACATAATTATACTAGTTGTTTACCTGATTCAGATGTAACTCAGTTTCCCATATTTTCATGCATCTGGAATCCTTGTCCTGGCTGTCATACTGCTACTGCCACTACTGTCTCAGAAAACTAGCTAGCACTTGCCACTTAAATAGATTTTTCCAGGTGATTCCTGGATGTTTGCATTTTGAAAAAGAAGGTTTGGTGGGCTTCTATCACAAGCCCCAGCTCTGGCTTACAGGAAGGTCAGAAAGCTCATGTCATCTTGACCATTTGTAATTGGAAGAAGCCCTGTCTTCCACTAAGTCTTAAATTTCTCAAACACAGAAGTGGGATAGTAATGAGATTCTGGCACTGGGACTTGAGAGCTGCCTACCCTGTTTAACATCCATCCTCATCTTTGTTATTTCTAGTGGCCTGTGAGTTGGTCAAGGCTTGATTAACATAATTCTCTTTGTTGATGCCTGGTTCAAGGACTCATATCTAATCTAAGCCAGTTAACAAATGGAATTGCCTGACCTATGAGTTGTTTTAGTGTTAGGTACATGACAAGATCTGGGCCAATGAGATGAGACTTGCCAGAAGTTTGTCAGAAAAGTCCTCTTCTTGAGAACTGCATAAAGAAATGATCCCATTTTCCTCTAGATACAATTTTGCTTCCTTGTAAACACTGGAAACTCCACAGCTCTCTTGCTTCCAGCTGAGGGGAAGAACACAAAGAGAAAACACAGAGACATCATGGTAATGGTTGAGAAGTAGAGCTGGGACTGTGCAGTGCAATCTGCAAAGTCGGCCCTCCATCTGGACAGCCAGTGTTGTGCACCAAGACAGGTCTGTTTGGCTTGTGCAGCATGAAGGTGGGTGTTCTGGAACTTTCAGCCAAAAGCAATCCAGTGGAAAAATGGATTCACGATAATTTTGGTGATTATTTTGTAAGCTTATGTTTTGTCTAATTCTAAAAGTTTAGAGGTGCATTGTTTTGGTTGAATTAGAAATTATTGCTAATGAATTTGTATTAAAGAGTAAAGATTGGTATTTAAATTAATACAAGAGAAACAACCAGAGATAGGATTCATTGGGTTTGATTATTGCCAGATTCTTGCTCTTTTTTGTATAGACACCCTGAAGCTGAGGCAAGTTCTCTGACGGTACCCTCTGGAGAACAACTACAAAAATTGAAATTTCTGTAAAGCTCTACCAAATGCCTGCTTTCTTTGGTCGCAGCCTCCTCTTCCATGCTCTGGAATCCTTCTGGTCCAGCCCTCCAGGTACCATGTCTGCTCCCTTCTTAGCCCATAGGTGAGCATGTGGCTTTAAGGCCAAACTCAAAATAATTATCACTTCTAAGACAGCAATACAAAAGGGGAAAGTATTTTGTAATGATTCCCAAAGGGACTCTTCATGGGTATCTACTTTCAGGATGATTTTATTTTTATTTATTTAAAAAAATAGAAAGAGAATTTTCTACTTACTGATTCACTCCTTACATGCCACAATAACTGGGGCTGGACCAGAAATCCAGGATACTGCAGTTTTGGAGTTGGTGGAACCTTTATGAGTAGGGCCTTGTACAAAGTGACAACTCAGTTTAGGTCTTGCCCATGAGTAATAGGGACAGGTTCTCTGGGTTCCTGCTTCCTCCTAGGTTAAGAATTAGCTACAGGTTGGAATTGGGCGCAGAACCTGGACTTGAACCTATACCCCCCATATGGGATGGAATACCCAAGTGGTTATAATCACTGTGCCAAATGGCTGTCTGAGATCACTGGAAGTGCATAATTCATATTATTTCTGAGGCTTGATTCTGGGGACTCTTCAGTGGCTCTCCTTAAGCACATTTAGATATGGTTTGTGAGTATGGCCTCAAGAATTCTTTTTTATTTTTTTAATTTTTAAAGATTTATTTATTTTTATTTGAAAGCCATTTATAGAGGGAAGGAGAAGCAGAGAGAGAGAGAGAGAGAGAGAGAGAGAGAGAGAGAAATATCTTCCATATACTGATTCACTCCCCAAATGGCTGCAATGGCTGGAGCTGGGCTGATTCGAAGCTGGGAACCAGGAGCTTCTGGCCCCTAGTGGGTGCCAAGGCTTTAAACCATCCTCCACTGATTTCCCAGGCCATAAGCAGAGAGCTGGATTGAAAGTGGAGCAGCCAAGACATAAACCAGCATCCCTATGGGATACTGGCACTATAGGCAGGAAGTTAGCCTACTACAACACAGCACTAGTCTCTCCAAGAGTTCTTGTGTTGAAAGTTTGTTTTTCTGTGTGGCAATATTGGCGGTGGTAGGATCTTTAAGAGGTGAAACTTTGTGAAAAGCGAGAGCATCTTTGAGAGTGTTTTCTTTTAGAAGATATGAAGTGATTCTGTGGGACCTCAAGCTCTTTCAAGAGGGGGTTTTATAAAAGAACATGACTGGCCCTCCCTACTTTCTGACTTCCTGACCTACCTGTGGTACCCCTAGTACCTCTTTATAAGCACGTGCTTATACAGTGAGACCATCTACTATGATGTAATGTAGCCAGTGGTAGGGTACTGATACCAGAGCTGGCAGATGTCAACGCATATTCTTGAACTTCAAACAAACAAGTCCCAAACCCTCTTTTCCTTATAAATTATTCAGCCTCAGGTACTTTGTTATAGCAACGAGAAAAAGACTAATATAGTAGCCAGCAGAAGTTTCTATTTGATGCCATAAGAAACCTTGGTTTACATTCTCCACCAAAATAATCCTCACGCCATGGTAAGGATTTGTGTAAGAGATACTTTTCACCCCACCCCACGTTTTTACCAGGCGTGTGTAACTACAAACCATTTTTGGTAGCTTTCTTATCTACCTAAATTCTCATATGATTATTTATTGACAACTCAGTGTATTTTTAAAAAAATTTATTTGGCATTTATATAGCACTTACTGTGTGCAAATCATTATTCGCTTAAACCTCCTTAAAGTCTGGTGATATAAATGCCATCACCGTTTCCATTTGGAGCAGGGGTAGGTTCAGTAATGTGCTCAAAACCACACCATAGAAGAAGACAGAGCTGAGCTCCAAATCAGATGGCCTGACTTCAGTCTCTGCTGTAACCCAAGAGGTCAAAGTGGCATTACCAGATGAATGAGACTTAAAACTAGGAAATCAGCTTCTGATGAATACAATTAAGTGTTTACAAAAGCATCTTTATGATAGAAGACCTATAATGCCCCTTACTTCTGCTTCTACTTAGAGGTTAATTGAGTTTGCTGGGTTCCAATTTTCAGTTTCTGAATCAAATGCAAACTGCTTAGCATTTTCAGGGAGAAACATTCTCATCTAATTTGTTAGCAAGCAGTCACTAAGCCCAAACACCTGCTACTGTTTTTCTCTCACTGTTACCTGGTGATCCAGGAGTAGCCTTGCATCCATGATAATGGTATTTGATGCTGAGTATAATTAAGTATATACTTTTAGTATATTAAATCTATTTCCATTAAAATTGCCACATGAAACAGGGTTGTTTAAAAAGCTGCCATGGGGCCCGGCGCGGTGGTGCAAGTGGTTAAAGGTCCTCGCCTAGCACGCCCGGGATCCCATATGGGCGCCGGTTCTAATCCCGGCAGCCCTGCTTCCCTTCCAGCTCCCTGCCTGTGGCCTGGGAAAGCAGTCGAGGACAGCCCAAAGCTTTGGGAACCTGCACCTGCGTGGGAGACCCGGAAGAGGCTTCGGATCGGCATAGTATCGGCCCGTTGCACTCACTTGGGGAGTGAATCAGCGGATGGAAGATCTTCCTCTCTGTCTCTCCTCTCTCTGTATATCCACCTTTCCAATGAAAAAATAATAAAAATAAATCTTTAAAAAGCTGCCATGGAAAAAGGAAGAACAGATGTTCTTAGCACCCCTCCCCCATTTTTAACGGTTGATTCAGCTATGAGCTGTATTTTCCACCTGGTGAATTGTTTCAACCCAGCATGGCTAACCCTAACAGATATGTCTGAAATTAAGCATCCATTCATTCTACTCTGTGCATGGAGAACTTACTAAGTGCTAGGCACTGTTCTGGGTGCGGGGCATTTGGCAGTGAACAGGTACAGAAACTTTCCTAATTTCACGGTGCTGATATTCGGGTATAATCCTGCAGTTGTACAATTGAACAAGCCTGAGTTTCTCCAGGCTTCTCTGGTTGTTTCCATCCCTACCTAGATTGAAAACATGAGCTTCCCAGAAAATTGTGCTATGTCTCTATAGGAGATTTCAGTTTGCCTGGTCTTCCCAGGTGTGTCGAAGGAGAGGACACTGGGCTGAAGACTGGTAGAGGTGATAGTTTTTGCAAGGAAATATTGAGGATGTGTCATTGTGTGTTTCTCCTGTGAAAAACCATGCACCTAATTAGTTCTAATGTACTCCATACTCATGCCATTCTAAAACCTGCAATTTTATGGTTGCCTATGGAGCTATTTTCACATCTCTGAAATTCAGATGTATTTTATAAGCCCTGGCCTTGTGTTATCAGTGTCAGCAGGGTGGTGGTGGCAATGAGGATATTGCCTCATTGTTGCACTTGATCCTTGCTGTTCATATTTTTAAGGTTTCACTGGGTTAGGAACGCTATTGATACTACATGTGTTGGGTTGATTGTTGTAATGTTATTTTTCTCAGTTCATTTTGGACCATTTTGTTAACATCTGTTAGTAAGATTGTCTTGCAGAATGGGTGCCAGTGGCATGGAAGAGTCTCCAAGCTGGGACCATAAGTTGGATGGGGCATGCATAGAGGAGCACTTTAAAAAAAAATGTATAGGGCCCGGCACGGTGGCGCAAGTGGTTAAAGGTCCTTGCCTTGCACGCCCGGGATCCCATATGGGTGCCGGTTCTAATCCCGGCAGCCCCGCTTCCCTTCCAGCTCCCTGCCTGTGGCCCGGGAAAGCAGTCGAGGACGGCCCAAAGCTTTGGGAACCTGCACCCACGTGGGAGACCCAGAAGAGGCTCCTGGCTTCGGATCGGCATAGTATCGGCCCGTTGCACTCACTTGGGGAGTGAATCATCGGACGGAAGATCTTCCTCTCTGTCTCTCCTCTCTGTATATCCACCTTTCCAATGAAAAAATAATAAAAATAAATCTTTAAAAAAAAAATGTATATATATATATATATTTATTATTACTAATTACATTGCATTATGTGACACAGTTTCATAGGCTCTGGGATTCCCCCAATCCCTCCCTGAACCCTCCCCCCATGGTGGATTCCTCCACCTTGTTGCTGTATTACATTTCAGATTCAGTCAAAATACTTTCATTGCAAGCGTATACCAAGCATAGAGTCCAGCATCTTATTGTCCAGGTAAATTCAACGGTTTCTTGGGGAGACCATCTCTGGTTAAAGGAGCACTTTTTAAGGTAGTGTTCCTTAACCAACCCTACTGATGGAATAGAGGGAGATGTTTTATGGAAAAGTCAAAGCAAGCATTGTATTTTGGTTTGATAGATTTATTTTTCCTTTGTGGTATATGGTAGCTGTGTTATACTCAAAGACAGCTTAGATGAAATGAAATATGGAATTCGTTATCCTCGTTTTACAAATGAGAAAGCTGGAGCAAAATAACATGAATCAACTTTCCCAAAGTTCACAGCTAAAAACGACATAGCCAGGACTTAACCTTAATTGTATGACTTCAGAGTTAACTATTGTCAATGTTATCACTTAGATGCAGCCGGTTGAGGGAGCTTATCACAGCTTGATTTACGTACATTTTCCATCAATATTCATTGACTGCCTACTGTATGATAAATATTAGCGTATATTTGGGTGCAGGCACATTGATGAGCAAGAACTTACAGCACTTTCATGGAGTGTGTAATTTAATAGGGGAACAGGTAGTGAAATAACAGCAAGAATCAATGTAAAGTTGCAACTGCCATAAGAGAAAGTGCTGTTGAAATGTAAAATGAGGAGACCTTTTAAATCCTGTGGTGTCAGGGAAGGCTTCCTGGAAGAAAAGGAGTGATCTGAGCTAAAAGGTAAATAGGCAAAAAGGGTGCAGAAAGAACAGGATGTCTGTGTTTGGAAAGAACCTAGCCCTATACCCCCAAAAAGCCACTGGTTCATAGGGGATGGAGTAGGGATATGGGCAGGAGTCAGAGGGTTTTGAGATGGAGAGATGGAGGTAAGTTCACACAGCTCTGTAGTTATGTCAGGGACTGGAATTTTCATTGTGAAAGTAATGAGGTTCCCCCAAAGCTTAATCCCCCCCCATTGCCCATGAACCATCCTTCTATTTAAATAAATCTGAAACTATCTTCAAAGGTTGATTCATACTCTGTAG